CTCTCTGCCCAGCTGACGCTTAATCTTAATCTTACTTTAGAGCTTCAACTTATCTGATAAGCGCAAAACAGGATTAAAATCGTCATAGGAACGTCACGAATTCTCATGGGTAACGGATTCTTCAGCCGGTGTACTTTGTTGCCATGGATACGACTGTCCTGGAGGTGGAAACTGTGGAATCTGTTCCTTACCAGGGTAGGGTGGTGGCGATTCTAACGGGTATGGGTAATCTGGGGGTGGTATATTTGCGTTTGTTGAAACTAGAGCGTGACTTACTTGAGGGGTTGTGGTGTCAACAGGTTCAGACGGAGTACGGCGTGATACTATAGCCATTGGAAACCTCTCCGCTGCCTCTCTGTTTCGCCTTTTAATTAGTTTAGCCAAGCAAACGGAAAGGAATATCAGTGCAACAAATACTATGACAGTTACAATAATGGGTGTCATCCAAGCAGGAGACTCTAAAGAGAAAAAGAGAAACAAAAGTCAAACAAGCAGAGTTATCTGAAGCTAGGGTCGTTTCCACGTGGCGTTGAAAAATACTCGAGTTGACGGTGCATGAGACGTGCTACAACAGATTCAACCTCTAATTTTTAAAACAAAGGTAGACAACCTGAACTTGATACGGCCTTGAAGGTGGCTTTGAATCCTCTGTGTGGTTTTCTACCCGCATAATCTGTGGCAGAGTAGAACTCAACCCACATATAACGATTACGGTGACTTGAACGAACGTTTTCGGGAATTGTAGTTCCACAGTATTTTCCCAAAGATGTGCCAGACAATGGCATTCCATCTCCAACTTCCACATAATCTCTGCAACCAGGATCCAACTGAAATCTCTCGCAGATGAGTTCAACGCTTTGTCCCTCGGGTACAGTGATGAGCCATCACAAAGTAAACCCGGTGGGTAGTGGGTCAACGGACTTTCTAAAATCCCTTCTGATCCGGTTAACCTCAAATCAAAGTTGTGGACGTTATCCGGGTAACATAACTCGCTGGAATTTACAGCTTTAGTTTTCGCTACGGAGTTAGAAAACAATCTTAAGTAAATTCCTTGAAGTGATCCCACGGGGGAAGGGGAAGGGGAATTGGCTTCGGAGAGATTCAGGTGGGGCTGTTCCACCGAGCCTATCAAAATCTGACGTGAAAAAGGTAACTGTTTATGGCAAGATGGCGGCTAAAAGACATCGGAAAGCCATGCTTGGCATAATGAGATACCATTTTTAGAGCATACTTTAACAAGTTGTGAATGCCTTACGTGTGGATCATCACAAGTTCAAAACCAGTTGAAATTGTGTCAGTTATCGACCACTCTACCTGATTCTTGCGTCATCATTCAGAAATTTCATAGCATAAAAAATCACAACCAAATTCAAAATATTTTATTTTGATGGGGTAGTACATAACAGTTTCGTTTTATTTACTCTGTTTCACTCGTGCTGATAACCTCTGAGGTATTGTCAAACAACACCCTGTCAAATCAGTCGTGATGAAGAGCGCTTTTCACGCTTGCCTTGAACTTGCCTTTCCTACCACCTAATTTCAAAATGTTTTGAGATAAAATTTCTTTGGCTGATTGGAAATGAGGGATGTTACGAATGAGCGGCAAGGTGTTTAAGGGGAGACACCGACTTCCCCGAAAACGAAGAAATAGGAATGCTTTCACTTACTTGTTGGTTCATGGAGCGCTGTAAATGTTGCTTTGAATCCCCTGAAAGATGATCTGATTGGACCAGACCTGAAAAGAACCATCATGTAACGACCAGTAGAGGAGATGTCATCGGGGGTACCGGAACCGCACATTTTTCCTTCGCTCTTACCATCGATGTTCTTCCCATCGACAACTTCTACATAATCTGCATCACATCCTCCTGAGATGCTATCTTGAACCATTTGAAAAGTGTCGAAGCTGAGTTTCACAAAGCACCCTTCTGGTACAGCTATGAACCAATTACAGCTGGAGTGAGAGAGATACCCTTCCCCTCCCTCTGGGCTTTGAAGAGTTCCACTGTAACCAGATAATTTCAGGTTGTTGTTGTAAATGTTGCCCGGAAAACATCTTTCCTCGGAACTTCCGGCTGGGAAGAAAGATGCATCACACAAATTAACCTACCATTTTTCAGGGAAGTGTTTGGCTGGTCCTCTACAGAGTTTAAACCCTTTTGAGCTTTAAAATACTTATATGAATACTACCGCCCGACTGCCGATACCAAAGGTGATAACGAAGTATCATTTTTTGATGAAGTGGTACAGCGTCGTCAGTGATTCAAGTTATTCACCACATATTTGATAAATTCAAAGTGAAAAGAGGAA